GGTTACCGTTATAATATTATTATTCACCAACACGCTCCATTTACTGAAATGGGTTAGCCTTAGAATATTGTTAATCACCAACACGCTCCGTTTAGTGAAATGGGTTAGGCTTGGAATATTGTTAATCATCAACACTCTACATTTAGTGAAATGAGTTAGCCTTGAAATATTATTTTTCATCAACACGCTACGTTTAGTGAAATGGGTTAGCCTTAGAATATTGTTAATCACCAGCACGCTACGTTTTTTTAAATGGGTTAGCCTTAGAATATTGTTTTTCACCAACACACTACATTTGTGAAATGGGTTAGCCTTAAAATATTGCTAATCACCAGCACGCTACATTTAGTGAAATGGGTTAGCCTTAGAATATTGTTAATCACCAGCACGCTACGTTTAGTGAAATTGGTTAGCCTTAGAATATTGTTAATCACCAACACGCTCCGTTTAGTGAAATGGGTTAGGCTTGGAATATTGTTAATCATCAACACGCTACATTTAGTGAAATGAGTTAGCCTTGGAATATTGTTAATCATCAACACGCTACATTTAGTGAAATGAGTTAGCCTTGGAATATTATTATTCATAAACACGCTACGTTTAGTGAAATGGGTTAGCCTTAGAATATTGTTAATCACCAACACGCTACATTTATTAAATGGATTAGCCTTAGAATATTGTTAATCATCAACATGCTACATTTAGTGAAATGGGTTAGCCTTAAAATATTGCTAATCACCAGCACGCTACATTTAGTGAAATGGGTTAGCCTTAGAATATTGTTAATCATCAACATGCTACATTCAGTGAAATGGGTTAGCCTTAGAATATTATTATTCATCAACACGCTATATTTATTGAAATTGGTTAGCCTTAGAATATTGTTAATCACCAGCACGCTACGGTTAGTGATATGGGTTAGCCTTAGAATATTATTATTCACCAACACGCTACATTTAGTGAAATGGGTTAGGCTTGGAATATTGTTAATCATCAACACGCTACATTTAGTGAAATGAGTTAGCCTTGGAATATTATTATTCATCAACACGCTACGTTTAGTGAAATGGGTTAGCCTTAGAATATTGTTATTCACCAACACTCTCCGTTTAGTGAAATGCGTTAGCCTTAGAATATTGTTAATCATCAACACGCTACGTTTAGTGAAATGGGTTAGCCTTAGAATATTGTTAATCATCAACATGCTAAATTTATTGAAATTGGTTAGCCTTAGAATATTGTTAATCACCAGCACTCTACGTTTAGTGAAATGGGTCAGCCTTAGAATATTAATCACCAGCACGCTACGTTTAGTGAAACGGGTTAGCCTTAGAATTTTGTTAATCATCAACACGCTACGTTTAGTGAAATGGATTAGCCTTAGAATATTGTTAATCACCAGCACGCTACATTTAGTGAAATGGGTTAGCCTTAGAATATTGTTAATCACCAGCACGCTACATTTGTGAAATGGATTAGCCTTAGAATATTTTTAATCATCAACACGCTACGTTTAGTGAAATGGGTTACCGTTATAATATTATTATTCACCAACACGCTCCATTTACTGAAATGGGTTAGCCTTAGAATATTGTTATTCATCAACACGCTACATTTGTGAAATGGATTAGCCTTAGAATATTGTTAATCACCAGCACGCTATGTTTAGTGAAATGGGTTAGCCTTAAAATATTGTTAATCACCAACACGCTAGGTTTATTGAAATGGGTTAGCCTTAGAATATTGTTATTCACCAACACGCTACATTTGTGAAATGGATTAGCCTTAGAATATTGTTAATCACCAGCACGCTATGTTTAGTGAAATGGGTTAGCCTTAGAATATTGTTAATCACCAACACGCTCCATTTAGTGAAATGGGTTAGGCTTGGAATATTGTTAATCATCAACACGCTACATTTAGTGAAATGAGTTAGACTTGGAATATTATTATTCATCAACACGCTACATTTAGTGAAATGGGTTAGCCTTAGAATATTGTTAATCACCAGCACGCTACGTTTATTGAAATGGGTTATCCTTAGAATATTGTTATTCACCAACACGCTACATTTGTGAAATGGGTTAGCCTTAAAATATTGCTAATCACCAGCACGCTATATTTAGTGAAATGGGTTAGCCTTAGAATATTGTTAATCATCAACACTCTATGTTTAGTGAAATGGGTTAGCCTTAGAATATTGTTAATCACCAAAACGCTCCGTTTAGTGAAATGGGTTAGGCTTGGAATATTGTTAATCATCAACACGCTACATTTAGTGAAATAAGTTGGCCTTGGAATATTATTATTCATCAACACGCTACGTTTAGTGAAATGGGTTAGCCTTAGAATATTGTTAATCACCAGCATGCTACGTTTATTGAAATGGGTTAGCCTTAGAATATTTTTATTCACCAACACGCTACATTTGTGAAATGGATTAGCCTTAGAATATTGTTAATCATCAACATGCTACATTTAGTGAAATGGATTAGCCTTAAAATATTGCTAATCACCAGCACGCTACATTTAGTGAAATGGGTTAGCCTTAGAATATTGTTAATCACCAGCACGCTACGTTTAGTGAAATGGGTTAGCCTTAGAATATTGTTTATCATCAACACGCTACGTTTAGTGAAATGGCTTACCGTTATAATATTATTATTCACCAACACGCTCCATTTACTGAAATGGGTTAGCCTTAGAATATTGTTAATCATCAACATGCTACATTTATTGAAATTGGTTAGCCTTGGAATATTGTTAATCACCAGCACGCTACGTTTAGTGAAACGGGTTAGCCTTAGAATATTGTTAATCATCAACACGATACGTTTAGTGAAATGGGTTAGCCTTAGAATATTATTAATCACCAGCACGCTACGTTTAGTGAAATGGGTTAGCCTTGGAATATTGTTAATCACCAGCACGCTACGTTTAGTGAAACGGGTTAGCCTTAGAATATTGTTAATCATCAACACGCTATATTTAGTGAAATGGGTTAGCCTTAGAATATTGTTAATCACCAACACGCTCCGTTTAGTGAAATGGGTTAGGCTTGGAATATTGTTTATCATCAACATGCTACATTTAGTGAAATGAGTTAGCCTTGGAATATTATTATTCATCAACACGCTACGTTTATTGAAATGGGTTAGCCTTAGAATATTGTTATTCACCAACACGCTACATTTGTGAAATGGATTAGCCTTAGAATATTGTTAATCACCAACACGCTCCGTTTAGTGAAATGGGTTAGGCTTGGAATATTGTTAATCATCAACACGCTACATTTAGTGAAATGAGTTAGCCTTGGAATATTGTTAATCATCAACACGCTACATTTAGTGAAATGAGTTAGCCTTGGAATATTATTATTCATAAACACGCTACGTTTAGTGAAATGGGTTAGCCTTAGAATATTGTTAATCACCAACACGCTACATTTGTGAAATGGATTAGCCTTAGAATATTGTTAATCATCAACATGCTACATTTAGTGAAATGGGTTAGCCTTAAAATATTGCTAATCACCAGCACGCTACATTTAGTGAAATGGGTTAGCCTTAGAATATTGTTAATCATCAACACGCTACGTTTAGTGAAATGGGTTACCGTTATAATATTATTATTCACCAACACGCTCCATTTACTGAAATGGGTTTGCCTTAGAATATTGTTAATCATCAACACGCTACATTTAGTGAAATGGGTTAGCCTTAGAATATTGTTATTCACCAACACGCTACATTTACTGAAATGGGTTAACCTTAGAATATTGTTAATCATCAACATGCTACATTTATTTAAATTGGTTAGCCTTAGAATATTGTTAATCACCAGCACGCTATGTTTAGTGAAATGGGTTAGCCTTAGAATATTGTTAATCACCAACACGCTCCGTTTTGTGAAATGGGTTAGGCTTGGAATATTGTTTATCATCAACACGCTACATTTAGTGAAATTAGTTAGCCTTGGAATATTGTTAATCACCAGCACGCTAGGTTTATTGAAATCGGTTAGCCTTAGAATATTGTTATTCACCAACACGCTACATTTGTGGAATGGATTAGCCTTAGAATATTGTTAATCACCAGCACGCTATGTTTAGTGAAATGGGTTAGCCTTAGAATATTGTTAATCACCAACACGCTCCGTTTAGTGAAATGGGTTAGGCTTGGAATATTGTTAATCATCAACACGCTACATTTAGTGAAATGAGTTAGCCTTGGAATATTATTACTCACCAACACGCTCCGTTTAGTGAAATGGGTTAGCCTTAGAATTTTGTTAATCACCAGCACGCTACGTTTAGTGAAATGGGTTAGCCTTAGAATATTGTTAATCACCAGCACGCTACGTTTAGTGAAATGGGTTAGCCTTAGAATATTGTTAATCACCAGCATGCTATGTTTAGTGAAATGGGTTTGCCTTAGAATATTGTTATTCACCAACACGCTCCGTTCAGTGAAATGGGTTAGCCTTAGAATATTGTTACTCACCAACACGCTCCGTTTAGTGAAATGGGTTAGCCTTAGAATATTGTTACTCAACAGCACGCTATGTTTAGTGAAATGGGTTAGCCTTAGAATATTGTTAATCACCAGCACGCTACGTTTAGTGAAACGGGTTAGCCTTAGAATATTGTTAATCATCAACACATTATGTTTAGTGAAATGGGTTAGCCTTATAATATTATTATTCATCAACACGCTACGTTTAGTGAAATGGGTTAGCCTTAGAATATTGTTAATCGCCAACACGCTACATTTAGTGAAATGGGTTAGCCTTAGAATATTGTTAATCGCCAACACGCTACATTTAGTGAAATGGGTTAGCCTTGGAATATTGTTAATCATCAACACGCTACGTTTAGTGAAACGGGTTAGCCTTAGAATATTGTTAATCACCAACACGCTCCGTTTAGTGAAACGGGTTAGCCTTAGAATATTGTTACTCACCAACACGCTCCGTTTAGTGAAATGGGTTAGCCTTAGAATATTGTTACTCACCAACACGCTCCGTTTATCTTCACGCAGTTTCACACTGGAAGCTGCCCCATTGTTAGCCTGCCGCCACCCGCTCGAGCACGTCGCCAACTCCCCCGTGCTCATCTTGACGCGCTCCGTCCGGAGCGTGGTTCACGTCTCTTTCTTGCGCTCGCGCGTGCGTCTTTCAATCCGGCCGCAGACCGCGAGAGCCCGGCCAACGGCGACGGTCCCGAGACGTTTTCGTGCCCCGTCTGCGGCAGGGGCTTCGTCAAGGCGCGCGCGTTCAGCGACCACGTGAGGCGTCACCGGGCCGAGCCCGGCGCGCGACGCCCGGTTCGCGGCGACCCCCGTCCGCTCGTGACGAAGTTCAAGGTCGCCTCCGAGAGCCGCGGGGCGACGGGCGCCCCCCCCGCCGAGAGGCCCTTCGGGTGCCCCCTGTGCGACAGGGCCTTCAAGCGCAAGAAGTGCCTCGAGGCGCACGCGAGGACGCACACGGGCGAGCGGCCCCATGTGTGCCCCGTGTGCGGCAGGGCCTTCGCGTGGCGGACGCAGCTCGGCTACCACGCGCGGACCCACACAGGCGAGCGGCCCCACGTGTGCCCCGTGTGCGGCAGGGCCTTCACGGCCTCCTCGGAGCTGAAGATCCACGCGCGGACGCACACGGGCGAGGACCTGCACGCGTGCCCCGTGTGCGGCCGGAGCTTCACGCTGCCGGGGAAGCTCAAGCTGCACATGCGGATCCACACGGGCGAGAGGCCCTGCGGCTGCGCCGTGTGCGGCAAGGCCTTCAGGCGGCCGGGGGACCTCAACTCTCACATGAGGACGCACACGGGCGAGAAGCCGCACCTGTGCTCCGTGTGCGGCAAGGGCTTCGCGTGGTCCAGCAACCTGAAGGTGCACGCGAAGACGCACACGGGCGAGAGGCCGTACGGGTGTCCCGTGTGCGGCAAGGGCTTCGCGCGGCCGGGGGACCTGAACTGCCACGCGAAGACGCACACCGGCGAGCGGCCGCACCTGTGCCCCGTGTGCGGCAAGGGCTTCGCCGAGTCGGGGAAGCTCAGGGAGCACACGAGGTGCCACACGGGGGAGAAGCCGCACGCGTGCCCCACGTGCGGCAAGGCCTTCGCGCAGTCGTCCAAGCTGAAGAACCACGTGGCCATCCACGCCGAGAGGCCGCACATGTGCACCGTGTGCAAGAGGACGTTCGCCGATCCGACGAAGCTCGAGGCCCACGCGGGCACCCACGCCGAGGCGGGGAAGGGGGACGAGGAGGAGGAGGAGGAGGAGAAGGCGGCGTCCGGGTCGGCCGCGCAAACAACGCCGGTCCGCGGGGGACGCCCGGCCGCCGAGAGCAGGCATGCGTGCCCCGTGTGCGGGCGGGGCTTCCCCGGGCGGCAGAAGCTGGAGCTGCACGTGAGGACGCACACGGGGGAGAGGCCGTGCAAGTGCGGCGTGTGCGGGAAGGGATTCGCGCAGCCGTCGAGCCTCAAGACCCACGTGGCGACCCACGGCGGCGAGAAGCCCCACCTCTGCTCGGCGTGCGGCAAGACGTTCGCGCAGTCGGGCAGCCTGAGGACGCACGCGAGGCTGCACGCGGGCGCGAGGGCTTTCCCGCGACCGACGGACCTCGACGGCCACGCCGAGGCCCACCACGCCGCGGAGGCGGGCGGCGACGGCGGCTGCGCCGGCGAGGAGAAGGCGCTCGCCTGCGCCGCGTGTGGCAAGGCCTTCCAGGCGGCCAAGCAGCTGCGGTGGCACCTGGCGAACGCCTGCGCCGAGGCGTTCGCCGAGCCGGGGAAACTGCGCTAGCACCTGAGGGGCGCGCACCGGCGAGAGGCTGCACGGGTGCGACGCGTGCGGCAGGGCCTTCGCCGAGAGGGAGTACCTCCGCAAGCACCGGCGGGCGGACGCACGCCGCCGACGGCGCCAACTCGACAGAGTGAATTTCGAAGGGGGAATTGGGTCGTGGATCCACGGGCGGGAGAGCGGATGCCCGGAAAGATGATCGAAGTTCTCTCTCTCTCTGGAGAGAGAGAGAGAATACGAAAGCACTGATTATTCAGACTTTAAGATTGTATTCATTTCAGGCCCCCAGTCTTTTGAGTGTTGAGTTGATGTTGATTCATTACGTGGATAACGGTCCCGTTCATCCAGTTGCCCGGCTATTTTACACGGGAGATTTATGGGTGGTGTGCGAGCACAGTGGCAGCAGTGGCAGCAGCGGCTGCAGCAGCAGCAACAACAAAGACTACAGCGTCAACATTGGTGAAAAATAGGGATGGGTTTTAACCTTTCTGGCACTAAAACAGGGGTTGTTGTTAACATGTTCAAACGCCTTTTGCAAGGCATCACGTCTGCACTAAGCACGCATTCGTGTGGCAAAGCATGCAAACTAACATGCTTTGATAATATGTACAGGTAGTCCCCGACTTACGATGGTCCGACTCACGATATTTCGATCTGACGATGGCGATTAGCGATACGACAAAATTGTAAAATATTTAAAATGCCGCGCCTCAGGCAAACGCAGCAGCATACTACAAGGTACGACACTGTAACTTGATCATCGCCATCCTCCTCTTCCGACAACTAAGTTAATGTGGCCATCGACAACCTAAACATCGTTCAAGTATGCAGACGACGGACAGAATCTTGGTGAGTAACAGTACTATATGATACGTTGCGATACGTTCAATGCACGTGTGATACGCAGCTTTAGCGAAGAAAAAGCTTTAGCGATTTCATTTTAGGGTTACTACGATACGTTAAATGCATGTTAAAAGTTTTATATAGCGGATAGGATTGTTTCCTGAAAAAACTTTATATTAAATTGCAGCTCATATAGGTAGGCCAAGAATTTACCTTGTTTTTTTACTTTTAATTTGACTGCAATACAGTATTGTAATTAATAAATACGTACAGTATATAGTTTATACAGTACGGTACTGTAAATTACTCTGTTTTTGCTAAATTATCACCATTCTTTAAAGACTCCTGGGTAGGCTAGGCCATTTTTCGACTTACGATATTTTCGACTTACAATGGGGGTCGTCGTAACGCATCTCCATCGTAAGTCGGGGACTACCCTGGACATTATCTTTGAAATTGATTGGCCTACAGCAGGGACGGCCTTCTTCATGCCCTTGTCTTACCAGGCTTAGACCAGAGAATGCCGAAAGGAGAACACTGCAAAGACAACGCAAGTATCGGAGCACTTACGGTTCAGTTCGAGCAGTTTTATCTATGACACTTTTTTGCCAGTGTAAGAAAATTACGAAAAATCCGAATGGAACCCTTTCCGCCAATAAATCAGAAGCTATACATCATTAGACCTAAATTTGTATTTAAAGCTTTCGTGACTGCAGGGATTCATATTCTTGGTTCTTTCGGTAAAGTCACGTAAAAGGGAAACAATAAAATAATAAAAATATAAAACAATAAAATTGAAGTTTCGACTGCAACACAAGCAATCATCATCAGGTGTGAAAACCACAACAAGAATTTTTTTAAAAAGTGGCGTTTTTTTTTTACGTTAGCACCACGGAGAGAGATTTGACAGTTTGTTCAGATGGACGAGTCCTATGTTCGGAAAAGAGGAGGGGGGAGACGAAAAGAATGGATGCGGTCTGAAAGCCACCTTAATCGTGTACAATCAATTAAGACCCAAAATGGTTTATCAAATCCTTCCAATGATTGCTAAGCCAGAATCCATCTTCTTGCTGTGGTTTTCACATCTGACGATGATTGCTTGTGTTGTAGTCGAAACGTCGTGAGAATTTTATTGTTTTATATTTTTATTATTTTATTGTTTCCCTTATACGTGACTTTACCGAAAGAACCAAGAATATCATTAGACCTCCTTTGCAAGTACCACAATATAATCATAGGGGTGTTTCCCCTTTTTTTCTGACAACAAAACTGAAACCCTTTTTCTACAAGGAATCGTGTTACTGCATTAACCACAATACTCGTGGTCAAAATGCAAACAAAAAACACACTGATATATATGATGCATCTTCCTTGAAACTGATTGGTCCACACCAGGGACGGCTTTCTTTTGAGCCTCGTCTCAATTGATGCTTGACCAGATGACGCCAAAAGGCTATTATTATATTTTGGTACTGGCAAACGAGGTCCAATGATGTAAATGCTTACCCCGAGCCCTCATTACTTTGATAGTGGCATTGTCTTTGAGCTGTGTACGCCTTTTGGCGTCATCTGGTTTAGCACCAATTGAGACGACAGACACATACACACAGACACACACACACATACAGTGTAGCGCTAACCACTGCACTACAATGCGTTACGCTTCCACATGCGCGGGACACGTGACAGATTTGATGTCACAGCTCACTTTCCGTGCAAATAATATATACATTATTGAGCTCCCCACCCTGCCCCCTCAAAAAAACAAGTGTATTTTTATAATTTTTGCACGGTGTACAGTCTGGAAAGTACCCACATGGCAAATTTCAAGTTTGTTGCATGTCGGGAAGTACGCTAAACATTTTGAACAGACACACATAATCACACCTTTGCCTTTTATATATATATGGAGGTGTACAGGCAATCCCCCCCCCCCCCCCCCCCCCACCGGGTTATGGAAGGGTTTAGGTTCCCGAGAAATATCCGCAACCCGAATTTGTGTGTCAGAAACCGAACAATTCCCCCCCCCCCCCCCCCCCCCAAAATCAACGATAAAATCGCATGTTGTAAAATAGCTGTGCCTCCTTTACCCGATTTTACTATTTCGTTTTCTCTCAGCACCGCAACGCACCGCCGTCGTCCGTGTTCCGCGACCTGCATCGTATCACTGTACGTATGCTGTGCACTTCCTGTGATTCTTTCATTTGATCGAATTGCTACCCTGACACTACCCACAATTAAACTAATAGGGCATATACTGTACTGTGTCCAATTGTCTTGCGAATAACCATGAAGCATAGGAAACAAACGATGATGTAACGCTACGAAAGGAAAAGGGGGGACGATGTGGCGGGTCTAGTCTAATTGCTGTAACAATGTAGCAGCGTGACTCGGAGTGCTATACACGAACACCACCGCTTTGGGGAATATGCGGCCCTGCCTTACGCCTCGCTCCGCTGTATTCATCCGCAACCTCACCGCGCTGCACTTTTAACGCATGCTGTATTGAAACCCGGGGCCACTGCCTGTAATATCACCTCCACTTAAAAGGCGTATCAAAGCATTGTACGCTAAAACAAAATGCAAAGACAAGATAAAATAATGTTACAGTAAGAGCCATGAGAAAATAGTGAGTCTTGCACTCACACCTGAAGCTCGTAGCGTGCCGGATCACCGCTGGCAAGGCATTCCAGATCCTTGGGGGGCAACACTTGAGAAGGCCTGACCCCCACCCCCAGCATCAAGCACAAACGCCGAGGCTGGGAGAGTGGTGTATAAACTCCAGCCATATCACAGATCAGTCGGACCCGCGGGTACATTGGTCCAAGACTATGCAGCGCTTTGTAGGCCAGAATGGATAACTTATACTAGATGCGAAAAGCTTACTTGGAAGCCAGTGCAGATTGCCACGGAGAGTGGGAGTGATGTGCTCGAAGCCGCTGAGACAGCTAAGCAAGACAAGGGCTGATTTCTGTCCACGATCAATGGACTGAAGAAGGTCATAGAGCCACACAAATGCGGGCCGTCTCTGTGCTGCGACTGGCTCGAAAGCCGGACTTGGGTAATACAAAAAAAAACTTCCAGACTCCAGACAATTTAGAGACCACCTCCAACAGCTTCCCCAGAAATGGGACGTTGGAGATTGGGCGATAGTTTGCCAGTATATCTACACCAGGGGTGGGCAAATTTTTTGTCTCACGGGCCACAATGGGTTCTAAAATTTGACAGAAGGGCCGGGCCAGGAACAGATGGATGGAGTGTTTGTGTGAACTAATATAAATGACGTGTAAAAATCTTTACATGAAAGGATTTGGCCTTTAACAGGTAGCAAAGCATTTATTTGCAAGGCAGTTTAACAAATTGCACCAACATGAATACAAAAACACGTCGTAACTCCCGGTCAAAGTGCGCCATCTAATGGGGAAATGGGGGCATTACAGGAGAAAGGTAAAATTTAATTTAATAATATTTGGACAAGTTCGGCGGGCCGGATTAAAAAGCCCAACGGGCTGTACTTTGCCCACGTCTGATCTACACCCAGTCCCGGCTTCTTCAGAAGTGGTCGCACCAGGGCCTTTTGCAGGGACACAGGCACCTCGCCATTCAAAAGGGAGGATTTGATGATTAACGTAAGCATTGGGGCTACTGTATCCAAACCACAGATGGTCCAAGCAAGTTGCCAGAGGGCTTAGGAAGAAATTGGGGCAAACCTATCCAGAACTGGAGGAGTTTTGGCCATGAGGCTGACCCATGTATTGCGGATTAAATGAATATTATAATAATAGGGTTTTTCCCCTTTTTTTCTGGCAACAAAACTGAAACCTTTTTAAGGATTCATGTTACTACATTGACCACAATACCTGCAGTCAAAATGCAAACAAAAACATACTATGATAATATATGCGTTTTTCATATTCTTAGCTCTTTCGGTAAAGTCACGTTGAAGGGAAACAATAAAATAATAAAATATATATGAAACAATAAAAATTCTTACGACGTTTCGACCATAACACAAACGGTCGTCATCAGGTGTGTCGGTTTGCATTAATTTATTTATTTTTAAACGCCGTATTTATTTATAAAAACGTCAGCGCCACGCGCAGCGATTTGGCAGTTTATTTAGAAGGACTAGTCCATCTATGTTCTGAAAAGAGGAGGGGGGTGTTGGTCCTACCGTGTTTAAGGTCTGCTTTGTGTTCACGAATACGGTCCGAGACATGGTGTTTGGTTTCTCCAATGTAACTACTACCACAGAGACAACTTAGTTTGTAGACGCCAGGGTACTGTATGTCCGGAATCACATCTTTTACAGACGGAACCAGATCACGGATTTTATGTAATGTGTTGAAACGGACCTGGATCTTGTGTTTATTCAAGATTTTGGAGATCTTTTTTGTGATCCCCGCAATGTAGGGTAAAGTGATGGTTTTGAAAGGCTCCTCAAGAGGGTCCTTCATGGTTTGAGTGATAGCTTTGCGGATTGTATATTCGGAATAACCATTAGCCTTAAGAGCTTGGGGTACGTGCTTGAGTTCACTGCCAATGTGTTCCTGGTCGGATTTTCATTGGGCTCTATGATATAGAGTCTTGATGAGAGAATTATTCTGTGATGGATGGTGTGGGAATCCGGTTTCGGATAAGCATCCGTATGGGTAGCTTTCCTTTAGACAAAGTGGCTCATTGAACCATCAGGTCTCTTTTTTATTAGGACATCCAAAAAAGGTAGCTTGCCATCTTTTTCGACTTCCATGGTAAATCTGATGGCTGGGTGTATGGAATTGATGTGGTCGAAGAATTGGTCTAGAGCAGGCCGGCCATGTGGCCAGATGACAAAAGTGTCATCCACGTACCTCTTCCATAAGGTTGGGTGCAGAGTGGCAGTCTGGATGGCGTCAGTCTCAAATTTCTGCATGAAAATGTTAGCTATAACCGGAGATAGGGGGGAGCCCATTGGGGTGCCCTCAGTTTATAGAAAGTTCCATTCCAAGTGAAGTATGTATTGGTTAAACAGTGTCTCACCAGGGGGGTACCTCAGTGTTTAGTCCTTGATGAACCAAGTCTTCAATGATTGCGATGGTGTCAGGTACAGGAACCTTGGTGCTTGGTGAATAAGGAAACTACATCAAAACTGACAAGCAGGTCGTCTGGGGACAGGGAAATACCCTTGATTGTCGATTCCAGGTGAGTAGAATTTTGTACCGCAGTGGTGGTTTTTCCAGTGAAAGGACGCAGGATTTCAGACAAAAAACGAGCCAGTTTGTAGGTGGGGGAGTTGATAGAGACGTTGGGACGAAGGGGTAGTAAGCCGTACAATCTTGGTGGCCTAG